TTATTGCTGTTGTATTTTAGTACTTCTGACAGCTTTGTTCAACCTTTATTTTTCATAATGGCTACATTGCTGATCACAGCTTTATCTTCCCTTTGACTGAAGGGATTCCTGTTTTTTAGTATATTTCATCCTTTTCCTGAGTAATAGAGAGATGGCTAACTTGTTTAGGTTATTTATACCCTCTAGGAGACCCTCTAAACTTCAGCCAATAGTTTTACATCTATTGGAAGAAGCCTTACAGTTAGGGACACTTCCTTAGAAGTCTACCTAAGTTAGCAGTAGCTGCTTTTTCTGTGCTCTTTTTAATGAGTAGACATTTGTGACAACTATCATTAATCAAAGAATAGTCTTTTTCTTGTCCAGTCCCTATCTGTTATATTTCACTAAAAAAAATCAGATCTTTTATTTTTATTTATTTTGTTAGTCCTCACCCGAGGATATTTTTCCATTAATTTTTAGAGAAAGTGAAGAGAAAGGGGGAGACAGAGAAACATTGATGTTAGAGAAACACTTCGATTGGTTGCTTCCCACACGAGCTCTGACCAGGGCCTGGGCTGGAGATGATCCTGCAGCCAACGTCCATGCCCTTGACGGGAATTGAACCCAGAGCCCTTTGGTCCACAGGCCAACGCTCTATCCACTGAGCCAAATTGGCTAGGGCTGTTATATTTCTTAAAAGATATCCCTGTAGCCAGATACCAAAACTATAGTGGCAGATTTATAGTAAAAGGAATCTTTATAACCTTCCTTTTGGAATGTTCTATTATGCCCGGAGAGACGTCTTTCATGGATTGCAGTGTTTTTCCCAACTCAGTATTTCCACTGAAAACTGGACTTTTCTCTATATCTCCTCCTCCCACAACAAAAGCTTTATTACTACTTTACTGAAATCATAATTTGACTCACCAATTAATATTTATGTCTTGTATTTACAAAGTGCATCACATATCTTGTTTAATTCTCTTTTTTAATTGTTTTCCTTTTCTTTTTATTTATTTTTTAAAATTAAATCTTTATTGTTCAGATTATTACAGTTGTTTCTCTTTTTTCCCCCCATAGCTCTCCTCCATCCAGTTCCCACCCCACCCTCTGTCCTTACCCCCCCCCAACTGTTCTCATCCATAGGTGTACGATTTTTGTCCAGTCTCTTCCCACACCCCCACACTCCTTTACCCACGAGAATTGTCAGTCCACTCCCTTTCTATGCCCCTGATTCGATTCTATTCACCAGTTTATTCTGTTCATCAGGTTTTTTATTCACTTGATTTTTAGATTCATTTGTTGATAGATATGTGTTTGTTGTCACTTTGTTGTTCATAATTTTTATCTTTACCTTTTTCTTCTTCCTCTTGTTA